TACAAGGGTTATAATACATGATGGTTCTAAAGTAGTTGAAAGAAGTTAGAAAAATAAGAATGTAGTTCTTAAGGTTTTTCAGATGCTAATAAAGTTGGGTCATAACTTTAGTGTGATGTCTGTTCTTTGGGCTTGTTCTGGGATATGCCATTATTTTAATTGTCTTATCTACAACCTAACAATTCTGTGAAAGGTGACCTGTTCAAGAGTATTTTTTCAGGACTGAGGGAAAATCCTGTTTTCTAAAAGACTTCTAAGGATTCTAAAAGGTCAAGATGCGAGAATCTAAATTCTGGTATTCAGGGGAGACTTCAGCTGAGACTTGACTACAAAATAGAAACCAAAAGGAGCAGACCAGGTTTGTATAAAAAAAAAAAAACTGATCTACTGATTACAGTTACTTTTTATTAAGATGTATTTGGCACAGTGTCGGTTTTCGTTTCCGGGTTTCTTTTGGTTGTGCAACGACTACGTGGTTAATGGGCACCGGTTCAATCCTGTCTCCTCATGGAATGTGCCACTGCTGAGGTAAACTAGTGCAGCTTAGCTGATATGGGACATGGCTAAAGTTGTGGAGTTTGAGTCCCTGAAGGGATTTGATTAAGCCGATGACATGAGAGCAACGTCCAGCCAACCTGCAATGTAGTGTATAAGTATTCTTAGTGGTAGAATAGTCGTGGTGACGAAAATAATGTTGTGCTTTATTATCAAAATTAAAATTAAAAGAAACGAAAAAACCTTAATCTACCCAACTTTGCAAGTACACACGGCTTCTGATATCTTGTTGTCGTTGATATCTAGATGCAGTTTGTGCAGATCTTCGTGTTTTTTCATTGATCGCCAGCATTTCGCATCAACTCTTGTACCAGAAGGTGCACTAGCTCCAGTGTTTGGAGCGTGGCAAATCTTAATATCATGAACAAATCCTTGAATAAAATAGTTCAAACCCTTTTCCAAAACCTTCTGTGAAAGATCAGAATGATCTGGAAGAAAGGAAACCGAAATCTGGTCTGGAATTTTCGCCAAATTGTCTGAAGGGCTAGACACTCCGCCATTCGCGCCCTCCATGTTTTCAAAAAAGTTGTGGGACAAGATGGCAGCATGCCGCACGCTTCCTTCTGATTGGTTGATTCTGCGTTGCTGATTGACAGGTCGGAACTATGAATTGATGGTGCGAAAAACATCAGTGACGACATCCTGGTCTTGGGCAAGTCACATGAAGAACATGATCAGAACCTAAGGGCTGTCTTCCAGCATTTAAAAGAGAAAGGCCTGACCCTCAACAAGAGCAAGTGTGAGTGCAGCAAAGACAAGTTGGAATTCTTTGGGTACTTGTTCTCTAAAGATGGAAGAGCACCAGACCCAAAGAAAGTTGAACAAGTGGTCAATCTTTCGACACCATCCACAGCATCAGAGGTTCGCAGCCTGCTGGGGATGACAAATTACTGTTCAAGATTCATCCCAGATTACGCCACTAAAACTGAGCCCCTACGCAAGCTGACCCACAAGGACCAACCGTGGTGTTGGACAACAGAGCACGACTGGGCCATTAACCAGCTGAGAGAAGCACTATCCAGCGCACCTGTCACTGCCTATTTCGATCCGGAAAAGGAAACAGAAATCTCGGTTGATGCAAGTCCAGTGGGCTTAGCTGCCATTCTCTCACAAGTCGACCAGAAGACCAAGGAAAGACATGTGGTCACCTATGCAAGTCGTTCCCTTACAGCAACCAAACAGCAGTACAGCCAAACAGAACAGGAGGCCCTTGCCATTGTTTGGGCTTGTGAGCACTTACACTTGTATGTCTATGGGAAGCCTATTACAGTCTACACAGACCACAAACCCCTGGTGACCATCTATGGCAATCCAAGTTCTAAGCCTCCCACCCAAATTGAAAGATGGGCACTAAGACTTCAGCCATATCAGATCACAGTCAAGTATAGTAAGGTGAAACAAACCCAGCAGACTACTTGTCACGGCACCCAGCAAAGAATGCAACCCAAACGACCCATCAGCAGAAGATAGCAGAGGAGTACATCAATTACCTAGCGACTACTTCGACTCCGAAAGCTCTGAAGACACAAGACATCGAAGCAGCTACTCAAGCCAATGCCACCCTTCAAGGCATAGCCGAGGCTATCGTGAAAGGCAACTGGCACCTTGTAGTCAAACGCCCTGGTGTCAACACTACCGAGTTTCGACTCCTAGAAAGAGTGAAGGACGAGCTAGCGGTAAGTGCATCAGGCAACCTCATCCTGCGTGGAACCCGCATAGTTATCCCAAAGAGTTTACAGGAACACGTGGTTAACCCAGCGCATGAAGGCCATCAAGGGCTCGTGAAAACCAAGTCTCTATTGCGCGAGAAAGTCTGGTTCCCGAACATCAACAAACTGGTGGAAAGCAAGGTTAGGTCATGCAGCGCATGCCTGATCACTACTCCTGAATGCAAGAGAGAACCCCTACAGATATCACCACTCCCAGCAGCTCCATGGAAAGAACTCAGTGCGGACTTTGCTAACCTTCCGAATCAAGAGTACCTACTTATGATTATGGACGACTACTCCAGATACCCAGTGGTAGAGATAGTAAAATCGACCTCAGCAGCAATGGTAATACCTAAGCTAGACAAAGTCTTCTCAGAATTTGAGTTCCAGACGTAGTCAAGTCCGACAACTGTCCCCCGTTCAACAGCAAGGAATTCGCGTCATTTGCAGATGACCTTGGATTCAAGCATCGAAAAGTCACTCCAAAATGGGCCAGAGCAAATGGAGAAGTTGAACGAATAGTGCGCACCGTAAAGAAAGTCATCAAGACTAAAATTGAATACCACAAGTGATTACAACAATTTCTATTTTTAAAATTATTTACAAAAAGTATTATTAGCCAGGACTTAAAAGAACATTTTTTGACATTCAATTGAAATGACAATGTATATTTCATAGATTTTAGAGTCTTGTCAAATATGGGATTAGTACTGAACATGTAAATATTATTGTTATGTTATACTGGTCACTATATATATATTACCTTGTCAAACTTTCAACTTCTAGACAGTACAGTGCATTCAGTTTATCACTGTAACACTTTGTTCAAAAATTATACAAAATGGCACTAATTAACACAGAAATTTGCACTTTTGTTGTTAGCAAAGTGTATGTCAGATATAATGACTACATATGTATTCTATATTTAAATACTCTTGTCATTAAAAAAGAATTTCTATTGGAATGGAACAATTGACCCAGACAAGTTTGTCAGTGCACAACAAATAATAGCTATTTTGTCTATTGGTGCAACGTCATCTCCTTTTCGTGACGTGACCAACTGTACAGGTAGTATCCCTTGCATAATGTTGTATTTCCCTTTGACCAGACCGATCACCCGCTCAAAATATATGTGTACATTTGCAATTTTTCTTGTGTCCTCAACCTCGACAGCAGACAATTGATTTTTTCCTTTTGTGAAGGCTAGAATGTGTAGTTTGGCTTCATGAAAGCCAACACTATCTTCTATGTCAAAGCCCCTGTCAGCTAGTACAATATCACCAGGTAAAAGCTTTCGTAGTATTCTTGAGTGCTCTGTCAGGTGTTTGTCTGAAATTCTGCCTCTCCATGCTTTGGATATGAAGGAGATAGTACCCTGAGGGGTTATGCCTATTAAAAACTTTATGGTATTGTGATGCTTATAGTTGGACCAAGTCATTGCCCTTGCTATTAGACTACTTGGCCTTTCTATAAATATCTCAAAACAATCTATAATAACAGAAACTTTCTTGCCAAAATTTTTTTGAAATACTCTAGGCATAGTTGCTTGCAGTTCTTCACGCTCTGGCCAATATATAAGAAATTTCAATCTAATACTTAGTGCATGGATCCATCGATCAAATATTCTTGATGCGGTTGCTACTGAAATATCAAATCTGTAAGCCAAGTCTTGAAGTGTGAGATTAAGTTTCAACCTTAAGAGAACTAGAATAAACTCACTAAATGATTCAAGACCATTCTGAAAGTTTCTCTTGATACAATGAGAGGTAAGATTAAATACACTCATCAGGGTTTTGTAGTTTGGCAGGCCAGTGTAGAATTTAGTTTTTTCATCATTGTTCTTAAATGTTTGCTCTGAAAATCGAGCAGATAAGAGTTGACTCTTTAAATTGGATAGTTCTTCTATCAAGTGTTGTAGGTAGTTTTTTTCATTTTCCATTTGGGTAAGGTCTATGTCTGTTTGGCATTCCTGGTCTCTAGTAGTAGCTTGTCCTGCCTGGCAATTGTTGTCACTTAGAGTACTTGAATCACGCACTGTAGATTAAAACATTCGAAATAATAACACCACAAGATAAGCTTTTGTAGGAAATATATCAGAACACAAACATAGAATGCAGAAATAATAGAAATTAACTCACTAATAGTTGGTTCAGAAACTTTGAAGTCTTGAACTATTGTTGGTTCAGTCTCTACTTGTGGGCTTTTGACACTTTCAACAACTGTTTCAGCAATTTCAGCCTCCATATCTGCTATTTCTTGTCTACGTCTTTTTCTGCTTTTTCCGCGAGCATTGCGTTCAACTGCTATTGAAGAATTGCATATATCACCATGGCCTAATTTAAGAGTTGGTGCCCAGTCAGGATCTGTGGTATCCCAAACACTAGAAAGCGAACCTAAAATGCAATGATAACACGTGCAATCAACTTGAGGTCCGTAAAAATCTTTGCCTAAATCGTATCGCGTGCATTTTCCTAAACCATGAATCTATTCCTTATTTTTTTACTCACCGTTAACAAAATGCTCGCTACAACCACGCGTATTTTCAGCCTTCTTGTCATCTAAATCCTTTCTCTGAATGTTTGCCAACCACTGTCGTCGACGATCTTCACAAAGCTTGCGTAGTTTATCTCCTCTGTTCTTTCTTATTGCGGGGAAGCGAAAATATTGTATACAAGAATCCCCTTTCGTTTTGATACTTTTATTACTGCAGTCTTTGAAAGCACAAATATAGCCCATGGCCGAATAAAACAACAAGAAAAACTCAACAACTGTGACGAAAAGTCTTTGCTTCGCTTTGTTTGCATCCGGCTTTGTTTGCATCCGGCACTGGTCCACCAGCAATGGCCAACTTCCGGTTTTCAGAGATCGCATAATTAGGTGTGACGTCACGTGCAAACGAAGAGTTGAGACCCTCTGCCGACGAACGCGTTCGTGATGTACTGTCCACTGAGAAGTTTAATATAATCACCCCATCTGATGTCTGAAAACTTATTGAGTCCACACCCAAAAAACCATGTTTGCTAGATCCTATACCAACAACACTTGTTATTGGCTGCGTCGATGTTTTGTTATCAGTGATAACTAAGATTATAATCTTATCGCTCCATACAGGTGTCGGTGTTGTAGAAAATTGCTGGTCATCAACCCTGACAAAACAAAACTCCAGTATGTGGTCGTCCTTAACTCATGAGGATTCTACCTGTCACCCTTCTAAGTACCACAATACTGACAACTGAAATTAAGCTTGTGGAAGTAACAAAGGAGCTTGGAGTGTATGAGGAGTAATCCCCACCATAACTGTCTTTTCATTTTATGGCACTGTTTTCCTGTTTATTGTAGCACGTTTCTTTTCCGTGAAAGGCATATTCCACAGTTTTGCACAAGTACATTTTGTACAATTACATTAACTACAACTTAAAGCGCTAACAAATACAGTTGTGATCAATTTAGAATAAATTGCCACTCTTGTAGAATAGGGAGGCTTAATTTTTGCGGAATTCGACTTCGTGAATTTGTCACAATTGAATCTTGAATTTCGCGAAATTCAACTCCCTGGGCTGTGTTGTCAGCGGTTTTACTTCAAATACAAGAAGGGGGCGGTCACTCAGCTTGGTGCGTGAACAGGAAGGTTAATAACTGGATGGCTGGACGTTTTTTAGTTTTGGTTTTGCGAGATGTCTTTGAACGGTAACACTGACAAGGTTGTTAGCCTTCTGAGAGAAGCAGCTAGTTTCCTCGGTGGAGATTGAGAGTCTGACCACACAGCTGTTTCAACTGCAGGAAGAGTTGTTACAGGGACTGAAACAGTGGTAACGAACTCAGTATCCAGTTCGAGTCATGACCAAAACCGGGTGCTTGAAAATTTCAGGTCACTGTTTTCTGGCCACCGAACAACTAAACATGTTACCTCAACCTTTCCCAAAAGGTCAGAGTCGAAATCTTTTCCTCCAGGGAAAAGAAGCCGGTCGACGTTCTATGAGAAATTGTAATTGTTCTTGAGGAACATTTAACTTTGGCCGTCCAGGCTGACCAATAAAAGTACAACCTGCCTGAGATGCACCTCTACTATGGTCAGCGTTGATAACCGCTTCTCTCGCTTCACAAATGAGGTGGATTATGCGTGCGTTTATCGCTCCTGTACCTTCAGTGTCCAAGTATCTCGCAAGCACATAAGACCCAATCTAATTGGAAAATTGCATAATCTAAGGTATTGCAGTCGTGGTTACCACTCTCTAAAATCTTACATTATCAATGTGAATACGGAGACATTCCCTGACTTTGCACAGGGTGGCCATGTTTTATGCTGAGTGACCGCCCCCTTCTTGTATTTGAAGTAAAACCGCTAACAACGCAGCCCAGGGAGTTGAATTTCGTGAAATTCAAGAGATTCAATTCTGACAAATTCACGAAGCCACATTCTGCAAAAAGTAAGCCTCCCTATTCTACGAGAGTGGCAATTTATTCTAAATTGATCACAACTGTATTTGTTAGCACTTTAAGGTGTAGTTAATGTAATTGTACAAAATGTACTTGTGCAAAACTGTGGAATATGCCTTTCACAGAAAAGAGACGTCTACAGTGAAATGAAACGTGCTACAATAAACTGGAAAACAGTGCCATAAAATGAAGGGACAGTTATGGCGGGGATTACCCCTCATATGAGTGCACATCGATTGTTATCTCAACTTTAATGAGCATATCACTAAAACTGCCTCTGACTGCATGTTTAAACTAACAAGGGTCGATAGGATAAAGTACCTTTTGGATCAAAAGTACTCTGATGTATCTCATAAATGCTTTTGTCTTTTGAAAATTGCTTTACTGTTTGACAGTTTGGAGTAACACCAGCAAAGAGAATATTATTAAAGGTCAGTTAATCCAGAACTACGCCTGCATGATCATAACTGGCTTTAAAAAGCACGATCATATTTCAGAAAACCTGAAGTCCCTTAAATGGCTTAATGTGAAGGAAAAACTGCTCTTTTATGACTTTGTTATGGTTTACAAATGCAGGAACAATTTGACTCCTGACTGTCTTCGTGAGTGATTTCAACATGATTCCAACATGATTTCAGAAATTCACCAGTGACACTAGGCAAAAGAACAATCTCATGTTGCCCAAATGCAGGATCTAGACTGGCCAAAGGGCTTTTGCCTACCGTGGAGCAAGAATTTTCAACCTTTTACCAGAGATCAGAAACACAAAAAGCCTTAACCTTTTTACAAATATTTTTAGCTGATAGATCATGTGAGGTTATTTTATTATTGAAATGTAAGCTGTTTTTATAATCTATGTCTTTTATCTGTAAAAATAGTTTGCCTTAATTTTGTAAGTTAATATTTTAATGCCCATGTATGATGGAAGAGCCCCCAAGGGGGAGCTATGCAATAAAGTATGTCTGTATATATGTAGGTGTGTTGGTGAATTTGCTCTTTAATGAAAATGTGCATTAGTCCTACCGTTGCTTAAGAAACTTGGGACTTGAATCATCGCTGGAAAACTATGGCCCTCTGAGTAATTTGCAGTATTTTTCTAAGCTTACAGAGAAGGCTATTTTCCAACAAACGCATAGTCAAGAGACTATTAACTCCTTATATCCCAAGCTCCAGTCATCGTACCGCCAACACTACAGTACAGAAACAGCCTTGCTGAAAGTGATAAATGATGTTCTTCTGAACATCAACTCTCAGCAAGTCGCTCTTATGGTGTTGCTTGATCTCAGCGCGGCTTTTGACACTGTCAATCACGACATTCTGTTGGAGAGACTTGAAAAGGACATTGGAATGCATGGTGTTACGCTTGACTGGTTTCGTTCATATCTCTCTAATTGTTGCCAACAAGTCTGTATTGATGGATCTCTATCTAACTGTGGTATACCTCAGGGGTCCTGTTTAGGTCCTCTACTATTTGTTATATACACTTCTACGCTGTTTAAGGTCGACAAAAGTCATCTCCCCAACACTCACTGTTACACGCATGATACCCAGTTATACGCGAGTTTCAAGCCCAATGATGCTAATGCCCAGGATGAGGCCATTCACACAATGAAAAACTGCATTAAAGATATAAGGAACTGGCTTATTGAAGGATGGCTGTTACTCAATGATGATAAAAGTGAATTTCTAGTTATTGGAACTCATCAGCAGTTAAGTAAGTTAAATCCATCAGTATTTCATATAGGTGATCATACGATCAATCCGTCAGTTAATGTTAGTAATTTGGGTACGATATTTGACAATCAATTAGTATAGATACTCCTATAAATCAAGTTTGTGAGACAACTTTTGACCACATTCACAATGTTTATAGAATTTCTAAATACCTTTTAAAGGAATCCCTTAAAAAATTAGTTCATGGTTTCATTACGTCCAGACTCGATTATTGTAATAGCCTACTTTATGGCCTTCCCAAATATCACATAAACAAACTACAAAGAGTACAGAATACTGCAGCTAGATTAATAACGGACACTAGAAAGTATGATCATATCACCCCAGCTTATGTAACCTTCACTGGCTACCTGTATTTTACCGCATTTATTTTAAAGTTTTAATCGTTACATTTAAGGCTATATGTAATATGTCACCTAGCTATATTAGTAACTTAGTGTCCATTAAGTTGTTTATTCCCTTAGATCAAATTCTTCTTTACTTTTGGACCGTTCCAAGGGGCGCATGCCATCTACACTTGGAGCTCGTTCATTTTATGCTTCTGCCCCCACACTGTGGAACAGCCTTCCAGAAAATATTCAGAAAAAAACTTAAGACACTTAACTAAATCACTCAGTATTTTTAAGAAAAAACTTAAGACATCTTTTTAATTTAGTTTACAATGGGCAACTTTCTTAGGGTGGTCAATTGTGTATTTTTAGTTGCAGGTTTTATAGATATTTGTTGTAATTCATTATAGTTACTGAGTTTTTATATATTTTTTTAAATTCATGTAAAGAGCTTTTGATCATCAAGTGAATAATTAATCAATTAATAAGACTGTTATAACAATGCAGTTTCTAACTTTTAGTAGTTTTTCAAAACGCCTGCTATCTCGGAAAACAATTTAACAGCCTCGCACTCATTCAAGGGTGCAACATAATCGCAACATAATTGCACTAATTCCTTTACATCCTCATGGAAATCGACACAATTTTCAGCGTACATTTCTTTGGACGCCTTTGCATCGATATCAACTACTTTTAAGTAGCTATGTGTTCCATACATCTTAGGTGTAAAAAACATGATATCTGGTTTACCACCCTCTAATTTGCATCGCTTTTGTCGCTGAATACCGCGTGTATTCCACAGCTCTACGACAAGTTGTGGCTCACCTCGTGTTATTGGCAGAAAACAAAATTTCAGGCATTCCTTAGTGGGATAACCTTCCTTGTAAACACCAGAATTGCACAGATCTTAAATCATATTTATCGGCCACCCTCTTCCTCCCTTGTGGAGTTTTGACCACTAGGCTCCTATATGCTGGTTTGCACTGCTTTTACTTTCAACAAAACTATCACTACCTGCAAACTTGTAGTTATCGTGCCATCAAAAAAAACTGTTCAAGGGTGTCAGTAATCTTATTTTCTGTTCCCCCGTCACAGCGCATTCTCCTGGGATCCCCCAAGCTGTTGAACCTCACAAAGTGGCCATGTTGTATTTATGAATGTAGCACGTTGCCGAAAATCGTTTTTTATCTTGTTATTCATTCATATTTGTTGCTTAGATTTCGCACACCAGCTTTC